ACCAGGATGGTCTCGATCTCTTGACCTCGTGATCCACCCGCCTCGGCCTCCCAAAGTGCTGGGATTACAGGCTTGAGCCACTGCGCCCGGCCTAAGTTTTTACTTTTCAAGGGTTTTAAATAACCTTTTTGTGCAGTTTTTGCCTTTCTTCTGGGAGGTGTTGATTTTTTCCTTTCCATCTTCCTTTAACATTTAAAAATGTTCAAAGTGTACCCCTACACCAGGTTTCTGGAAAGTCATTTTATTGAACATAGGAGAAACATATAGGTAGAAAGGTAACTTGTCTGCATGTTTTCAAATGCGAGTGTTGTACCGAGGTTTTGCAAACATTTAATCCTGGTGTCTGGGGATTAGAGGGGGGTGAGCATGTGTGAGGCGGGTGTGACTTTGGCAGCTGCTCTGTGTGCTGTCTTTGCCATGCCTGCCACAAATTGCCAAGACCTGTTCTAAAACCCTGTGTCTGCCAATTCTTTTTTAGATTTCTATTTCAAATGAGACCAAAGACCTGCTTCTGGCAGCTGTCAGTGAGGACTCATCTGTTACCCAGATCTACCATGCAGTTGCTGCTCTCAGTGGCTTTGGCCTTCCCTTGGCATCCCAAGAAGCGCTCAGTGCCCTTACTGCTCGCCTCAGCAAGGAGGAGACTGTGCTGGCGTGAGTTGTCATCTTGAGCGCTTTGCAGGCCTCATTTGTCTCGGGCCCTATCCTAAGAGGGCCTATTCATTGGTTCAGCAAATACTTTCTGGGCAAATACTTCCAGTAATTACTTCTGTGTGCCAGGTGCTATGCGAGGCACTGCAAACACGATTGCAGGAAGGCAGGTAAGGTCCCTGTCCTCGTGGAGCTCACATGGACGCAGTCTTCTGCAAGCCTCGCAAAGAGGAGGCAAGTGCCAAGCCAGAGCGCGAGCACACCAACACCTAGAGATCCAGCTGCCCTCTGACGTTGGAAGGCTAGAGCAAGGGCAGGTAACTGAGAAGGAGCCACATGCGTGTCTTGTTGAGGCTTGGCCAGGGCAGGTTGACATGTTGGCAGTGGAGGCTCTGCAAAGTGGGGGCTCACAGGATTCCTGGAAGTTGTGAGAGGCAGCATCCAGTGGGAGAGGTGGAAGCTCAGAGGGTGGAGCATTCCAGGAATCAGACTCCACTACTCTGCAAAAGGCTTAGGTGAAGGAGAAGCACCTTTCCTGCTTCTTATAAATGGAAATATTGTAACTGACTTTAGGGTGTTTTTGCTAAGCTTTTAAGTGATAATATATGTAGTTTTAAATTTTTATTTATTTAGAGACAGGATCTCACTCTGTCACCCAGGCTGAAGTGCAATGGTATGATCACAACTCAACTGCAGCCTTGAACTCTGTGCTCAGGTGATCCTCCTGCCTCAGCCTCCCAAGTAGCTGGAACTACAGATGCAAACTACCATGCCCAGCTAATTTTTTTTTTGTTTTGAGACAGAGTCTTACTCTGTCACTGACAATAGAGTGCAGTGGCGCGATCTTGGCTCATTGCAGCCTCTGCTTCCTGGGTTCAAGCAGTTCTCCTGCCTCAGTGTCAGTGGCTGGAATTATAGGCACACACCACCATGCCCAGCTAATTTTTTGTATTTTTAGTAGAGATGGGGTTTCACCATGTTGGCCAGGCTGGTCTTAAACTCCTGACCTCAAGTGATCCACCTGCCTCAGCTTCCTAAAGTACTGGGATTACAGGCATGAGCCACTGTGCCTGGCTGCCTGGCTAATTTTTTTTACTTTTTAGTAGAGATGGGGTCTCTCTATGTTGCCCAGGCAAGTTTAATTTTTTTTTTTTTAACACTTAAACTCATTTAAAACAGTAATTTTTTTTTTTTTTTTTTACTGTTTTCTTTGTGTAGACCGTTTAATTGCAAACCCTGAAAGAGGATGTGGAGTACATTTCTGGAATCCTGTTCATTAACAGGAGGTTGGTGATACCAATTCCCCCTTTCAAAACAGTGAGGTTATTTCCCAGTTTTTTGGTTTGTTTTGATAACAACCAGATTTTCTCTAAGCTTAAAGCTTTGTTAAGGGCAGGTCACAGGCAGTTGACATTCCCTCTCTGTCATCCTCACACCCTCATCATATTCACATGGTCAGTCATCAGTGACTCTGGGGCTGATATTTTGTACACACTTTGCCCAGTGCTTGGCCCTTTTGGGGCTTTGATTTCAGGAGGTATTTTGATCTCTGCTCATAATCCCTCATGGGGAATGCATCTCCAGTCACCATCATCTCATGCCATGATGTCACTATTAGTGCCTGTGCCTTACTTTGGTGCTGCCTTCTACAAAAAACTTCCCATTTCCCTCCAAGCAAAAAGGAAAATCTCTTTCCTCAAAATCTCAGAACCCCAGGAAGAAGTACAAAGGAAGTACGTCCACTTTGGAGTCAGACAGACTTAGGTTTGAACACCAGCTATTTCCTTCCTTGCTGTGTGACTTTGGCCAAATTTCTAACTTCTCTGAGCCTCCCCTATAAAATGAAACCCATAATTCTTACATCAGAGCAACTGACAGGATTCAGTGGGATAATAGATGTGAAGACCCTAGCGCAATGCCTGGTTCTTAGTGGGCATGTAGGAAATGGAGTTCCTTTTCTGCACCATCTGTTTGTTAGGTCTCTTTCTTAGAGAGTTTGTTACCTCCTTCATTGTTGTTATTTCTTTTAGATCATAAGATTTTTTTTTTTTTTTGGACACAGGGTCTCACTCTGTCATCTAGGCTGCTGCGCAGTGCAATCATATTTAAAGCTCACTATAGCCTCAAACTCCTGGGCTTGAGCAGTCCTCCCACCTCAGCCTCCTGAGGAGCTGAGACCGTAGTCACTGTATGCCACCACACCCAGCCATAAGCTTTATTTTTAGTGCTTACAGAGCCTGGCGCATGGTCTGTACCCAGTGGAGTTAATAAAGGATGAAACTATACTTTTGTGTTTCTGTTGTCTTGTGGAAAGCCTGTAGTTAGAAAGAGCATATGCTTTGGAGCAGAAAGAACTATGTTCAAATCCACTCTTCTACTCAGCCTCTGTGACCCTGAGTGGATTGTTTAGCTCCCCTAAACCTCAGTGTTTTCATATGCAGACCTGGAGAATGTCTCGTAGGGTCATTGTGAAATCCAATGGGTAAGATGCCTTATATAATATTACTACTAACGTGCCCTGTTAAAGGCAATCTGATATAAATTAGAATTCTTCTGAGTGGGCCTTCCATATTTAAATGGACTTATTCTAGGAAGTATATATTCGTAAACTTGTCTTTAATGGAAAAAAGAAAATATTTGTAGGTTTGAATGAACCATCTGAGAAGATGTCATTTGTAGTCTCTCATAAATCAATTTCTCTGAATCATCTGCTGTATATTAGTAAGATAAGATCTGCTTTCTTACTGTTTGAATATAGTACTGTACTCCAGAGAAAAAGAAATTGCTGGCTGGGGAATAAGTAATTAAAGCCAGTGACAAAACTTTCTAAAACTCAGTGGATTAATTTCATTCTAAAATTTCTGAGGTTGTTAGCAGCATGGCACTCACTCATTCCAAAGAGAAAAAAATGTTATCTTAATTGAGAAGTTCTTTCTGGGCTGTCTCAACTGCCGTTTCTGAGCTCAGTGTTTATCATGGGCAGATGTATGATTTTCATCTCCTTTGGAAATTCAGGTTTCATTTTCTCAAGTGTATTGTAACAACAAGCATCCCATAGGTGTCGTTGAGTACTCTGGGGCTTGTCTCTCTGTAAATTGTGACTCTGCTGTTTTCCAACTTGTCATCTTAATGGAGTTAGTTTCCCATGGAGAGAATCTAAATTGTTATGATCTTGACATAAGCAGACAGATTCTTGCTCTACATTCCCTGACACATTGACTTGATAAGTGGTGGTTTTACACAAGGGCCCAGTCATCTCTTAGGAATTAGGAAACCATTCGCAGTGGAAGCAGCAGTCCGTTTAACCACCAGGGGGCCTCTGCTTTCCCCATTTCACTCAGAGAAGCACCGTTTGTATTTTCTAAATTATCTGCCTTAAGAGAATAGAATCTAATAAATCTTACATGTACACACCTATCATATTCCGTCTTAAAAAGTGTATCTTCCAGAATTACAGATAAAAATATATGAATAAGCCAAAAAAAGAATGAAGTACGGATACATGCTACAGCATGGCTGAGCCTTCTTATGCTGAGCAAAAGAAGCCAGACCTAAAGGACACAGATGTATGATTCCATTTCTGTGAAGTATCAGAATAGGCAAATCCATAGAGATAGAACATAGATTGCTGGTTGCTGGGGGGTAACGGGGGACACAGTGGGGAGAAACTGCTCAGTGGGTTTTATCTATCTGTCTTATCTATGTACCTTTTTTTTTTTTGAGACAGAGTCTTACTCTGTCACCAGCTGGGAGTGCAGTGACACTATCTTGGCTCACTACATCCTCTGCCTCCCAGATTCAAGCGATTCTCCTGCCTCAGCCTCCTGAGTACCTTGGTTTATAGGCGCGTACCACCACACCTGGCTAATTTTTGTATTTTTGGTAGAGACAGGGTTTTACCATATTGGCTAGGCTGGTCTCAAACTCCTGAACTTGTGATCCGCCTGCCTTGGCTTCCCAAACTGTTGGGAAAGCCACCACACCCAGCCTTATTTATCTATTTTTTTGAGACAGGGTCTCACTCCGTCACCTAGGCTGAGTACAGTGGTACAATCACAGCTCATTGAAGCCTCGACCTCCCAGCTCAAGTGATCCTCCTACCTTAGCCTCACGAGCACCTGGGACTATAGGCATGTGCCACCATGCCCAGCTAATTTTTAAATTTTTTGTAAAGATGAGGTCTCACTATATTGCCCAGACTGGTTTCGAACCCCCAGGCTTAAGTGATCCTCCTGCCTTGGCCTCCCGAAGAATTGGGATTACAAGTGTCAGCCACCATGCTCAACAAATGGGTTTTATTTTAGACTGGTGGAAATATTTGGGAACTAGACAAGTGGTGGTTGCATGGCTTTGTGAATGTAGTAAGCACCCCTGAATTGTCCACTTTAAAATGGTTAATTTTATGTGAATTTTGCTTCAATCTTTTTTTTTTTTTTTTTCTGGGACCTGGAGTACAGTGGCTCACCGCAACATCTACAACCTGGGCTCAAGCAATCCTCTTACCTCAGCCTCCTGAGTAGCTGGGACTACAAGCACATGCTACCATACCTGGCGGATTTTTAGTAGAGATGAGGTTTCATCATGTTGCCCAGGCTGGTCTTGAACTCCTGGACTCAAGGGATTTGCCTGCCTCAGACTCCCAAAGGGCTGACATTACAGATGTGAGCCACTGCACCCAGCCCAGTGCCCATGGTTTTCATTGCCAGTTCTATTGCCTGGGTTGCCTTCTCAGCTGTGATGGTCTTTTCCAGGTTTTGTCATACCTGTCCTAACTGGTTTATAAGTAAACTCCTTAAAGGCTAAGACCAACTTGTACTTCTAAAGAACAAGAGTGGGCTATTTGTGAAGGTGTCCAAATATGAGAAGGGGTGAGTTGATGAAAGGAGACTTGCCATTCATCGGGTTTCTACTCTTTACCTTCCAGAACGGTCCAGGCTCTGCAGACAGCATCCCACCTGTCCCAGCAGGCTGACCTGAGGAGCATCGTGGAGGAGATTGAGGTATGAATCTTTTGCCAAATGGATCTCCCAGCTCATATCTTTGACACCCTGCAGAAGAGTCTTGCAGGTAGCCATGCAAGATCTGTTATGGCCAATTACATTGCTTCTTATATCCATGGCACACTTGTGTTCTTTGTGTTAGGGTACTGTGTCCTGAGGAATATTTGTGCCTTTTACATAACAGGTGCTCAGGAAGTGGTGACTGTGGTTTTTATTATTGCTCTATCCTTGCCTTGGCCCAGAATATCATACTCCTCCGGGGCCTTGCTCATGGACTACCTGGCCAGGGTAACAAGCAGTCCTGATGGTGTTCTCACTGCGTGCCTCACAGGCACGTTAGCTGCATAGTCATGTTGCCTAGGAGAGCAGTTTTTCTCTCTTTGTTTTTTGGAGCATTGAGTAAGAAATTCTAGGAAATGCCATGCTTTGTAGGTGGTATTCAAATGAATGGCCATGGACTCTATCTGTGTCATGTTGCTTCCTGGGTGCACGGCAGACTGGCCCACTGGCCTTCCACCCAGAGCAGCTGGTGCCTTCCTTGCCATGACTCCTGGGCTTGGGCTTGTGTACAAGGGGCCAGGGAAGGAGCCCTCCCAGAACTGCAGAAGCTACTGTTCTCCTCAAATGTCTATTTGATATACTTTGCTCTGCCTGAGCACCATTTTTGAGAAAGTGTTAAGTGACTGAGATGGTCTTCAGATTTAGAGTGAGAGATGACATGAAGCTGTCTGCAGTGCGGTTGATGTGCTTTGTGCATCTCATTTCTGCTGTTTCTTGACATCCAACATGTTACTGTTTTGTTATGGCAGGACCTTGTTGCTCGCCTGGATGAACTGGGGGGCGTGTACCTCCAGTTTGAAGAAGGACTGGAAACAACAGCATTATTTGTAGCTGCCACCTACAAGCTCATGGATCATGTGGGGACTGAGCCATCCATTAAGGAGGTACCCGTCTAACAGTTTTTGGGCATGAAACCCAAAGGGGTCATCAATTTTATCTGCTAAGGATAGCTTTTATCAGAGAGGGATGTGCAGACAGTACCTTGGAATGCTGTCACTCAGTGTCTTGGGTTAGGCATTAAGAATGAGAAGTAGAGCTGGGCATGGTGGCTCATGCTTGTAATCCTAGCACTTTGGGAGGCTGAGGCGGGCGGATCCCGAGGTCGGGTTCGAGACCAGCCTGACCAACATGATGAAACCCCATCACTACTTAAAAATATAAAAATTAGCCAGGCGTGGGTGGCGCACACCTGTAATCTCAGCTATGTGGGAGTCTGAGGCAGGAGAATTGCTTGAACCCAGGAGGTGGAGGTTGCGGTGAGCCGAGAGTGCACCATTGCACTCCAGCCTGGGCTACAGAGCGAGTCTCTGTCTCAAAAAAAAAAGAACGAGAAATGGAAAGATGTAATGCCTGTTTTCAAGAAATGGGTTGCTAATGAGACAGATGTGTAAACAAACCACACTTGCCTTAAATGGGGTATGTACATGTCATGAGGTAATGTCAAGAAAGCCACATGTATTACTCCTGTTTTATCTCCTTTTCTTCCCAATACCCCTTTCTGCTTGTCTCTTGAATGCTTTCCATTCTGGTGGCGCATTCAAATCCTTCTCGGGGCTCAAAATTGCTTCTCCCCCCTTCCCCCTTATCCTCAGCAACAGTGAAATCTTAGCTAATCTTTGCTGATGGACATAGTTCAGGGAGAGGCATGTGTGTCTATCACACATCTGTCAAGAGTTAATTCTTTTTTTCAAGAGGAAGTTGTTAACCTAAAAGAACCTTTAGTTGAAATGTGTGTGGGAAGTCTTTTTGAGTAGGACCGTCTTTGTACCCTGTGTCTGTGAGAAGTTACCAGCTCTTAATCTAAAGTACTGAAAATACAAGCTGCTATTATTTAAATTTTAGGAGGAGAGATTTGAGTTAGAACTTTTATTTCTTTATGCATTACAAGTTTTATACCAAGTTTCTTTAAGTAGTTATCTGTCTTAGATAATTGGAATTAATTTCATATTTTCTCCAGAGGATATGGTCAAATAAATTATTCGTGTGTTTGCATTCTTTTTGTGTCCCTTCCTTTGTCCTAAGTGTAAGAGGTCTAGAAATATACTCCCTTTGGGGAGCATCACATACTGGGGTCTGTAGTGGGGAAATAGGGGAGGGACAGCGGGGGGTGGAGAGTTGGGGAGAGTTAGCATGGGGAGAAATGCCAGATATAGGTGATGGGGAGGAAGGCAGCACATCACACTGCCATGTATGTACCTGTGCAACAATCTTGCATGTTCTTCACATGTACCCCAAAACCTAAAATGCAATAAAAAAAAAATTGGAAAAAAAAAAAAAGAAATATACTCCCTTTTAATTTCTGTTACGGGTGAGAGTGCAGGAGTGTGAATCTTATGGTACAGATTACAGATTGTCCTATACACAGTAAAGTAGATGAATTGCTGATTTGTACATACATAACTTTAGCAGCAGCTTGAAAATAAAGAAAGAAAATGTTTAAGTTTTCTTAAACCAGGTACTTGGCTGGAGTAATTTTGCTGTCACTGCTTTTGACACAATTGTGGTGAACAGTTACCCATTTTAACATGTCAACAGCCTAGTAATGGAAAATTGTAATTGGTCCAATTAAAGAAAATTCTTTCATGTTAACTGTGAATAACACTGTCAGGAACAAGAGAGCTCTTTTGTTGGACGTTAGATTTTAAAAAACAAAACTGATCGAAGGGGAAAATGTTTCCTCCTAGGAAAACAACCTCTAGAATTTTAATAATGCCTTTTAGGTTCCACTTTTTTTAAAAAAAATTGCTTTCAGTTTTCTCCTCTAAGCACCCCATTAGTTTTTCATGGAGAGTTATTTTAGTTTCCTTTTAATGTACATTTTAGCTATAAAGTTTGGTCTTATAAATAAAAACTTAGCCTCAGTGTACTACTTGCAGGCGGGTTGGGAGGAAAGGTCGCTTGGCTGGGAGGATGATGGGAGTCCGAAGAGAGCAGATTTTCTTGTAGAAGGACTTTGGAGACAAATAGTCCTACATTTGAATGCTAGTCTTGCTAATGTTATTGTGACTTGTAGAAGTTACTTGGCCTCCTTTAGCCTCAGTTTTGTTTTTTGGGAAACATTGGTAATACCAGTCTTTTATAAGTTTTTGTCAAAATTTGAGTTAATGCATGTAAAGCACCTGTCATGATGCCTGGCGTATATAGACATTTAGCAAGTAATTATCATTATATGTATTTTGTATTTTGTAATATCTCAATAGTTATCTAGAAGTACCCTGCATTTGTGTAGTAAGTGTTATTATTTTTTTTTTTGAGACAGTCTCACTCTGTCGCCAGGCTGGAGTGCAGTGGCATGATCTCAGCTCACTGCAACCTCCGCCTCCTGGGTTCAAGTGATTCTTGAACATGATCTGTCCTCCTCGGCCTCCCAAAGTGCTGGGATTACAGGTGTGAGCCACCGTACCCTGACTGTTACGATTTTTTTTTTTTTTTTTTTGAGGCAGAGTCTTGCTCTGTCGCCAGGCTGCAGTGTAGCGGCGCAATCTCGGCTCACTGCAACCTCTGCCTCCCGGATTCAAGCAGTTCTTGTGCCTCAGCCTCCCAAGTAGCTGGGATTACAGGCACATGCTACCATGCCTGGCTGATTTTTGTACTTTTAGTAGAGATGGAGTTTTTCACTATGTTGGCTAGGCTGGTCTTGAACTCCTGACCTCGAGTGATCCACCCACCGTGGCCTCCCAAAGTCCTGGGATTACAGGCGTGAGCCACCACACCCAGCCTGTATAGTAAGCACTTATTAAATAACTGACAAATCATGAATTTCAGTTTATAATGGAAAATGGATAAAAACAACCAAGTCCAAGTTCTAAGTGTAAATGGAGAATATTTGCATTTTCTCTATCTATAAATTTGGATCAGTGGCTGAAAGACCTCCATGTGAACGCCTGAAACAGACAGGGAGTGACTTTCATCTACAGCAATGTCCCTCCTGCCTTCTGAGTGGAGGAAGATAAGCAGCTGCATTTCGCTTTGCTTTCAGGATCAGGTCATCCAGCTGATGAACGCAATCTTCAGCAAGAAGAACTTCGAGTCCCTCTCTGAAGCCTTCAGTGTGGCCTCTGCAGCTGCTGTGCTCTCCCATAATCGCTACCACGTGCCAGTTGTGGTTGTGCCTGAGGGCTCTGCTTCTGACACTCACGAACAGGCTATCCTACAGGTATGACTTCCATGCCCAAAGTGTGCCCCTCTGATTGTCATTCCTAGTGGAGGGCTTTGAGGAATCTGGACCATGGTCCATTTTGTTGCTCTTGTTTGGGAACCAGCAATAAGCTAAGATCTTCATGAGAAATTAGCATTTTATTTGTGTCTAAGTGTTGAGTTTCCACTTAGGACAGTCCTGTCTGTCCCATTAGTTCGACTTTGGTGTCCCCTGCAGATACCCTCCTGAGCGAGAACTCTGTTTTTCAAAATTGCCTATTTTCTGCCTACATATACAACTTGTATACCCTCAACAAAGAGGTAGAAAGTAACGTGATTAACATTGTTTGCTGTGAGTTAAGAGGGGCTAAGAGAACAAAGTGGAAAAGGAATTGACTCTGAAGCTAAATAGATGGTTTGAGTCCTGGCTCAACCACTTAACTGGCCATGTGGGCTTTGTCGGTTCCTTTACCTCTTGTGGCTTGTTTCTTCATCTGTGAAATAAGAATTATTCTGTCTGTCTCATACAATTGATAGGGAATATCAGTAAGGGGGGCTCAACCTAATAAGTGCATATAGTTGACTTTCAACGGGTGATAGTTATTAATGCTATCCATATTTCTTCCATTTTCCCATTGCTGATACCATCCTAAAGTATTTTTCTGGCTGATTTATTTATTTATTTATTGATTGATTGATTGTAGAGACTGGGTCTCACCATGTTGCCCAGGGTGGTCCCAAACTCCTGGCTTTAATGATCCTCCCATCTCAGCCTCCCAAAGTACTGTAATTACAGGCATGAGCCACTGCACCTAGCCTGGCTGAGAATTTTTTCTTTTTCTTTTTCAGAGACTGGGTCTCCCTATGTTGCCTGGGCTGGAAAATAGTGGCGCAGTCATAGCTCATGCTAACTCTTGGGCTCAAGCAATCCTCCTGCCTCAACCTCCTGAATATCTGGGATTACAAGCACATGCCACTATGCCCAGCTAATTTTTTAATTTAAAAAAAGTGTTATCTTTTTGATAGAAATGGGGTCTTGCCATGTTGCCCACACTGGTCTTGAATTCCTGGCCTCAGGTGATCCTCCTGTCTCAGCCTCCCAAAGCACTGCAATTAACAGGCATGAGCTACCATGCCCAGTCCAATAAATTCTCTTAAAGGTTCTGTAGTAGAGTAGATAGAATAGGGAATCAGAAAGAAGGAAATATATTGGCCAGGTGCAATGACTCATGTCTGTAATAATCCACTTTAGGATTAGGCAGCAGGCCAAAGGTCAGCGAAGATTTCCCCGATGCAGGGCATTTGCTTTCCTGCACCCTGTAGATAAAGCGTCCCAGAAACAAAATTCTCTACTCCTGCAGCCTTTGTTGTAACAAATAATGTTTTTTTTAAATTTCCAGTTGCAAGTCACCAATGTTCTGTCTCAGCCTCTGACTCAGGCCTCTGTTAAACTAGAACATGCTAAATCTGTTGCTTCCAGAGCCACTGTCCTCCAGAAGACATCCTTCACCCCTGTAGGGTAAGTCCTGATCATATTTTGGCAGAGCGCTGACCTCTTTATTTGGGAAGTTAGCCTGCAGCCAGTGTAATAGATTAATGTGGATGTACCATGATCATAAAACCAAATTTGCCTAAGTTCCAGTTAGGTAAATTTGATCTACTGGTATCAAAAGCCTATAGTGGAATATAAGAAAATGATTTTTAAAATGAAGATCATTTTGGTTTTACTGTTTTATTCTTTAGTTCTAGTTGGCTCTGTCTTATCATTGTGACATAAGTAGCTTTTTTTTTTTTTTT